CACATCAATAATATATTTACATATGATCACCTTTCACAGGTTAAGTTCTTTGCGAAACTGCATTTGTGTATGCAATGGAACAGGTCTCTTACTCACAATAACCTGATTGGTAGCTCTTGATTTGAGAAGAAATATTTTTCCTAGCTTATTCTGTCACAGTACCAGACCAGGGTTAAATACGTAGTTGGGACACAAGAATACAGACTATATAACTCCTTACTTAAAGAAAAAATCTCCAACAGGTGACTTACAGGGCAGTGGGTATTTGTGGCCTTTTCTGACTTTAATTACAAAATGCAGGATTTGGGATATTCTAAGACTTCATATTTGCAAACTGAAGTGTCTAACCTGCTAGCAAGCAAATAGAGAAAGCCTTAGCAAAACACTCAGAAATAGGCTGTTTCTTTTAATTGTCCCATGGTTTAAAGCCAATGTCTCAAGTCACTTCAAAAATGGATCAGTATACAAGTTTGTGTGCTAGCTTCATCAGGAGAGACAAGGATATCCTTTACATGAAGATTACTATTGACCTCCAATTTAGTTACTTCAAAAAAGAAAGCAGATGATGCTTCTAATCCTTCTGATTAAAACTCCTGACCATTGCTCTGAAATTTCTAAATGTAAAGTGAATGTAATTAAATATTGTGATTTCTTTCTATGCCTGCACTGCTCCTGCTTTTGCTCACAGATTGCCCTGACTACTCCAGAGTAACTTTTAAGGGGCTCTGAGTACCAGTTACTCTGATATGAGTCAGGTAGGTTTCCCTACAGCATTGACTGCCTGCCAAGAGCACATCTTGGGTGAGAGAAAGCCTTTTACTGCAGCAGAGAGAAAAACCAAACATTACAACCCTTCCCTCTCCCTTCTTGCCATCCAGTAACTCAAAGCCTCCTGCAAACCTGGAAACAGAAGGAGAGACCACAAGGAGACAGGCCTCTTACCCAGCCAAATCCACATCACTGGACCCTGCATCTCAGTGCAGAGCGCCTGTCACAGAAGGGAGGGGAGTTGGATGAATGCCATTAACACACATACGACAATCAGGTGCTCTGGATTTACTTCTCAGTTTTAGCACAGATGCTTCCACCTCTCAGCATCAGCTCTCCAACATAGCTTTCCCCTAGCTTTCCTTGTGCTTGCTCAAACTGTGGTTGCTGATGGGCAAGGACCACTCCCTCTTTGGTGCCTATACAGCTCCATGGGTAAAAACTCACCAGTTCTTGGATGGAGCTGGCACAGACCATTCACTGGGTAGGGCTGAGGAAGAGAGACAAAGGGAGATCCCAAGGGGACCAGTATGGGGAAGTGAGAGAAGATCAACAGAGGTTAGAGACATCAAAGCCATTAATATATTATTTCTGTTTGTATGCCATTAACAAGTAACTGTGCTGTACTCCCATAAGTCTTCTGTTGATCAGTGACTTCTCATGGAATTAGTTCATTATTACATTTCAGGGGAGAATGTTGCTTTAGCCTCAGACTCAGCTAGCTGCTGGGAGGAGGGAGATTTCACACTCAGCCACTCTCACCTGGCCATTTTTAAACAGATACCAGTTCTTTTCAGCTCCCAGGACAAGAAATCTCCTCAAGGGTCCATTTCATGGTCCAGGGCACCAGTCTCCTCTTTGCTCCAACTGCCCTAAGACCAGGCAATACCTCCAGGACAGAAAAGCTGAGGCAGATGCTAAAATCCAAGCAGATATCTGAACATATCTGTTGCATCATAAGGAAATGCACAGCTAAAGATCAGCTTGACTGATCTTGCCAGAGCAGAGAATGGGAGGATTAAACACTCCAGGGAGCTTTTCAACCAATAGATAAGCGGTCCAGGGGCCTCCCCTCTCCTCCTCTCTGACTTCCTTTCACTACTTCTATCCAAACAAAGCCAACCAGCTCCTACTCACCATTTCGCTCTTCTCTCTGAGAAATCCTTGCAAGCAGTAACGGCAGACTGCCCAGTGCTAGGGTTAGTGTTCGTTTTAGGATGAGTTTCTCTTCCTTCTAATACATGAACTGCGGACCTGCAAAGAGGAAGAGATGATGGCATTTCTCTTGGGCTGACTCAGACAACCTGGCTGGGTCCCAGCACACCTGACAGAGCCAGATCCCTGCCAGGGGCAGGGTCTAGCATGCACCTGGGAAGCTGGGCTTCAGGGCACTGGAGACTCCACCTCTTCTCTGCCAGTTGCAGGGGAAATAAGACAGCTCCTGGCTCCAAGAGCATGCTTAGGGTGAGCCACAGATCAGACTGAGGGGAATCTTGCTTTTGCTTTCTAAGGCTAGCACCTCATCTGCCAGAGTACCTGCTGGAAATGCCAGGACAAAGCGAAGGATTTCTTCTGGCTTGATGCTGAGACCAACAAGCCTGTCTGGTCTGAGGCGTTGTTCTTTGTCTGAAGTGAGTTGTGCCACTGGGTAACTGCATTTTTAAAGGATGAAGAATCTTCTTGCAGACAATGGATATTCCCTTCATCAACTCACACACGGTGACTGGATGGTCTTTGGGCACTTTCTGGAAAATTAAGTCCTGTTTCTATAAGTAGAGAAAAAAAGGACCAGCCCAGTCACAGAGCACTGGTGGCAGACAGTGTGGAAAGAGATATTAAGGGAATATGACAGCTGAACAGTAAAGAAACTACAAAACTGCAAAAGATCTTTACACACACAATAGATAGATCATGCACACAGTAAGAACCCATCTTGCTGCCACCACAAATGTCTGTGTTTCTCTAACAGCTGTGACTCCAGTCCATATCCCACCTTCTATTTTACCTCCCATTTCCCACCAGTTTCACTTGGGCTGCATCATTTCTATTGTTTCAACATTGCTTTGGACTGTAACTGTCCATGTGACTGAAGACTCATGGGTGTAGTTTTGGAAGCCGTGTCTACCTGCTGTCTTCACTGTCAGCCTCTAGGTTCATTCCAGGGTCATACTGTGCCATGGTACTCTGATGCAGGAGGCTACAAGGGGATGCTTATTCCTTACATCACCTCTGTTGCTGTTTTGCCTTTGGGAAGAGCTGGAAGGAAATTCAGTCACCATGACGGTTTGGGTAGCTTTGACACACCACAGGAAATGTTTCGGGTGGTGGACACAGATGAAGTAGGTATGTGTTGGGGAAAGAACACAGACAATGGTTCTTAGCAAACAAGGTAGACGTCAAGAATTAGACAGAAAGAGGAGGAAAGGCATTTTAGCTTCTGCCTATCAGCATTTGGCTGCCACAGTGCGTGGACCACTTTGCAGTAAGGAACATCTACCTTATGCTCATCCTGCTGTCCTTTTCACAGGAGTTTCATGTCTCATGTCTTTGGGACATGCTGATGCAGGCCATAGCCTATAGCAAATGAGCCTCATCCTTTGAGGTATATTTAAGGACTAATTCCCAGATCCCTAATGTTTATCACTGCAGATCTGCATCTCAGCCCACTAAAGTGTGAGTGCAGAACATGAAACGATGTAGCCCTTTGGCTGACCAGCTTGTTTCTCTGCCCCACTTACTAATGCTGTCTTGATTGCAAAAGCAAGACAAGCCTAAAGGCTCACAGGAAAGTGCTTCCTGCAGAGAGTATATCTCACCCGGTATTAGCAGAAGACACAAACAACAGTTGGCAGAACAAGGAATATAATAAGAAATTTCCTCCCCTTGAAGAAGTGGAAAATGCATGCATACAACAGAATGTGCAACTGAATCCCCAGTCTTTAATAAATGCAGAGACTTGCTTACTCACTCTGGGCACAAGTACATTTATGATTGCCCCACACCCTCCTCTCCTCCCCTCTAAAAAATTGTTTTAGTTAGTGAAATGTAAAAACCACACAAATACCAGAATACATACACACACATCAGATGGTCTGACTATTTTTTTTTTTTCTTAAGAAAATTTCACACTTTTAGAATTATTGACTGCTAGGTCCAGTCAGTACAGCAGAAATATTCTACATAGATCATTGGTTGAAATGCACAGTACAACAGTTGTGAGCACACTGTCACAAGAGACACCTGGATGAATGCTAATGAGTGAGTACATCTGTCAAACCACATTGCAAGTATTTGAAACACACCAGTCTGGGGTAGATGGGAAATTACCAGAACAAGGAACAGAGATGTTAAAGTACATGTCTACAGCTGCTAGTCACTTTTCCCTAGTCGTTGCTTCCACTAGAGGGTCAGGAAACTTGAACTGCTGCTTGCCACCTGAAACTTTGCTTCTGTTACACAGGAATTGATGTCACATGTTATTTCCAGACCTGAGTCACTGTAATTTTGCTTGAACTGGAGCAAGAAAAAGAAGGACAAACATACACCTCGTCTAGCAGTGCTCACTCCCCCAGACCTGCATGGTCAAACAGCTTGAGATCAGAGGTCTTGCCTGTAAGAAGGCCTCAAAATTTGAAAAAAGAAACAAAGCAGAGCTAAAAAACCCCCAAAACATAAAACAAAAAAACCAACAAAACAGAGATAACATGATTTTATACAGCCTGCAATAAAGCTATAGTCAATGGTACAGTATTGTTCACTTTACATTTATTAAGGCTTTGACTACTGGTCTTCTACATGCACATTTTATATACATATAATCGTCCATGTGTGTGTGTGTGTGTGTGTGTGCGCGCGTGTGTATAAATTACTTTACTTTTCTTGTTCTAAGCAAGAAAATATTTTCATGCATTTGCTTCTCCTAGTATTCACAATACTTGGACCATATCCTATTCAAGGATTTCTGGAGAGGGCTATGTCTATTTATTATCCATCTGAAAATGCTCTCATCTCCAGGAATGTCGTTTGTGCCTGACAGTGGCGCTGGCCCCATACTTCTCCACAGTCATACACCAGAGAGGAGGTGTCAGCCCAGAGCCTGACAGCACATTGGTTATGTAAACATAATAATCCTTGGATTATAAATACTTTATTAAAGCTAGCACACCTCAGCTTTTAGCTCATAATTGCCCATGAGTGCCTTAATGAAACATTCAGAATAAAGTCTTTTTTTAAACTCCCATATCAACAGTTCAATTACAGTGCTTCCCCCAAAAGCGCAGTTTTCCCTACTTTTTCCCAAAGAAATGTCAAGCTACCTGTTAATTCTTCAAGCCTGTGGTTTGGTAGCTTTCATGAGCAAACGAGCCTTATAGCCCAAAGTGCTCTAAGTCACCATCTCACTTGCCCCTTTCCCATGAAATTAAGAGACTGGGCCATGCACCAGTGACAAATGGGGAAGAAGCAGAAACCAGAAGAGCTCTTCTGTTCCTAGTCCCCTGCCTGCAGGTTGCACATGTTTGACAGGTTCCCACAGCTCACCTGAGCTGACCCATAGCATGGCCTGCGTCCCTCTCCCTCAGGGACACCCAGACTCCCTCTGCCCCAGCATTCCCTTCAGTGAGATGCTCCAGCCAGCTGATGTTGCAGAGCACTCCTATGTTGTGGTGGGCAGCCCTGGGGAGAGCAGCTCAGCTGTGAAAAGGAAGGGCTCACAGGGAAATGGTAGTGAGCAAAGGAAGCAGTGAAAAGAAGGCTGAGAAAGCAGGCATGGGTGGAATGAGGAGGAGAGATTCCTTATTTAAGATATGGCCTGGACTGCTGCCACAGTCCTCTGAGCTGCCTTGCTTGGTGGTGTAACTGGAGCATGCTGTCAGCATTCCTGTTGCTAAGCTTTGCCACCATCACAGAATCATGCTTTGCATCCCACCACATTTCCATATCAGCCACCATCCTTCCCTTGGGCACTGCATCAGAGAACCTCCATTCAATGTACATCATGACAATTACTGCTAATCAGACACTAGGCCTTTCTCATTTACTGGGATCCAAGAAGCTAGAAGCCCTAAAAAGACTGTCCCTGTCCCCTGCCTTGCTCTCCACTCAACAATAAGCAAGACGATAAATAGAAGGGACAGTAGGAGTGATGGATGTCCAGCCATCTGGTTGTTCTCTTATTGCACAGAGTACTTTGGGCTGGTAGGGGAGAGTGAGTGGCTCAAAAAGTCCTTTGAAAAAATCCTACTGGGCATCTGTCCACATCACCTGCACCAGAAAATATGTTCAGACAGCTCATGTGGATGCTTGGGAAATATCACCTAGAAACAAGATATGCAAGAGATGAAAGCTTTTCTCAATTCAAGTTCAGGCTTCACTCAGCCTCATGGCAAGTTGTGCAAAATACAACGTTTATGCCCTGGCAGGTATGATTAGAAGACAATTTTTTGGTCCTGGGTATGTTAACAAGAAAGGATCATGCTAATAATTGCAGAGGCAAACCTTTGAGACTGCATTTAGTTTTAGTTACAGAAAATACTGTACACTGCTTTTGGCCAGGTGCACAGAAGCTTTGAAAAAAAAAGGACAAAGATCACAGTTAAATGTCTCAATCTTCATATGGGCAATGTCTGCGAGGAGCAGTCAAACTACTTTCTCATGTGCAATGCATCCTGAAATTTGGTACTTATGTATCGGGCATGAAAGCCTTTCTTGTTGATGGTGTCATCTGTATGGAATCGAATCATGATGGAATCCCCTGCAGAGTAGATTTCTTCCAGTGGCTGTAGAAAAGGAAAGAAGACAGTACATAGTGGTCAAGTCTACAGATTAAATAACTGTCTGCACTATGATGGTAGAGTTTAAGCTCACAGTGAAGACAGATTGGCCAATAAACGTGTAGACTGAGTGCTCAGTACCTCCTGCCCTGATCTGCCTTCCTAAACATATTTTCCTTGCTCTTTATGTTTGAAGACTGATGCCAGCCTAATCTACAATCTCAGTTCTTCCAGTTATTTTTTTCACAGGACTTCCTGGATTTTCTTGTTCCAGTCTTCAGGTTTACTCTAATTTGCCATTATCTTTTCAGGAAATGACACAATACAAACTGGACCCTGTTGGGCAGCTGAGGCTCTCCCAGGGTTCATTAGCGGCACAACGACTTAGGTACTTATCTTAGGTGACAGCCCTGGTTATCTCCCACACTGCTGTGAGCTGCTACAACATCCTTGTGCTTCTCTGCAGGACCAACACTTTCCCAGCCATTCTTCATTTGTCAGGGTGCAGGTAGGTACATTACCACTCTGCTGCCCTGAACTTTTTCACACTGAGCTGCTGTGCCTTTGTTTATTTTCCAGACCATTTTCCCAGTTTGTGAGGACTTCTTCCACATCTACTCCCTGATTATCTCTCTTTTAATTCAGTAAGAACCTTCTCCATTTAATTGCTGAAGTCAAACACAGACCCTCTGATTTTTTTTTTTCCACTCATGCTAGAGTCACTCCTGTTAATGGGGTTGCAGGTAGCAGTTTAGGAGACAGCACGTCATTCTAGAGTCAACAAGCAGCTCTGTAAGTCCCTCCACCATTCGCCCTTGCCATAGCATGGCCACAACATAACCTGGCTTCAGGCAGGAAGTGACTGAGAATGAAACTGTCCTTTGGAAGCTGTTTCCCACATCTACACATCACTTTTGAGGCAGGGCTGGAGCACAGTAGTGCAGCAGTCTCATGCTCCTGCACATGGCCCTGGGCTAAAAAGGGACTGTCCGTCATCACCATTTTCCAGCCACCTCTGTGCATCAGATAAAACGGCTGTGATCTCCAGCCAAAGAGGAAGAAGCAAAACCCAGTCACAAAGCATTCTCATTACCAGTTTGTGACAGCTGCCCCTCTCCAAAAATGATAGGACAGTATTCTTCCTTGCCACCCCCAGTGATCCCTAAGAAATCACCACCATCATGGCTTACCCCTGAGCCACAGAAGCGTCCCAGACGGGGTGCAGTGCTGTCGTAACCATCATAAATCTCCATGTAGTCGTACCCACAGTCCGCCTCCTCCTCAATCTCGAATATCTGGAATATTAGCTCCACCCCATAACCATCTTCTGCTACAATCACCCATTCACAGTTGGCTTGACCTGGGTAGTTGTTGTCCCCAAACTGAGCATGGGAATATAGCTCCTTAGTTTGTACTTCAGCCTTTAAGAGCCCACCACACTCTGAAGGAAGAAAAGGGCACAAAAAAATCTCTCAAAGGCCTTACCTCACAACAAAGACTCATCCCACTTTTGGGCCGGTCATGAGCAGAGAAGACCTCCAGCTTGAAGTACAATAGGGAAGGTAATTAAACACTGCACCAAACTACCATAAAACAGTGAATTCTCCAGTCACCCATGAATCCATAGACCCACAGAGCAAAGAGGAGCTTGGTTCTTTTGGTACAGAACACGCATGGAAAGAGGTGACCAGTTTAAACTGGCAGGATGGGGTTCTTGACACATTATACTCTGGGAAAATGTATTGTTTTAGAAAGCAATTGCTTTGTTCTTTGCACTTGTCCTGTAGCTGAAATTCTGACCCCAAGTATTTTGTCAGCAGGAAGTTGAAGCACGTAAAAAAAAAACCTGGGGACCAAAACAATCCTTTTCTGCCCAGACAATACACAAAAGTAGCCCTGTGTTTGTGCAGAAGGTGTACTTCAACAAAGAGTTTTCCTGCGGCCAATGAGGAAGATGCCTGTTCACCAGTCTCTCATGCTCTGCCACTCAGAGCACATTTCACCTGTTTACAGTGGCAGGGATTTCAAAGAAGTGAATGTTGGTACAACACACCCACCTCTGGGCTGCCACAGATAAGAGGATCAAGCTGTGTCTGTCCACAGCACAGCTCTGCTTCTACCATAATCAATTTAATGTGGGCCTGTTTTGTGTGTGGGCCAGTATGTAAGCTAAACTGCACCACCTCCTTTTCCGATAGTTGATGTGGAACAGAAGGGATTGTTGCTCAATCAAACACCTCCAATTTAAACAAAAGAGCGTGAGTAGGAATGTCCAAGAGACTTTTGAGTTGTTACGGAAGCTGGTATTTATGAGATTGTGCCAGCAATGGTCTGAGAACTGAATATACAACCAGTTAAAGTTCAGACTACGCTTATTTGGGAGAAAAGTGTGTCTGGTTTTGCCTAGTAAAAAAATGTAGTGAGACTTGATGATATCTTATGGCACTGGGGTATTGGCAGGCAACCAGCTTACCTGTGCCATGCTTTGCCTGGAAACCTCTCCTTTGCACAGAAGCATCAGAGTAAAACCTGAGGAACATCTTGTTGGTAGAAGCCACAACAGGGGCTGGTTTCTTGCTGCCACAGAAGCGGCCAAGGATAGGTGACTTGCTGTTGGGTCCATCATACATTTCTAGGTGGTCATAGGCACATTCTTGGTGCTGTTCAATCTCAAACTCATTGAAGGTCTACAGCAAGAATTTGGAGAATTAAGTGAGACATCTGTAAATCTGAGTATGTGATTTAGCAGAGGATGAAATGCCAAGTGAAAAACAGATCAAACAGTGCATCTGTCCCACTCCTCCCACAGAGCAGTGTGCTTTTAGACAAGAATGTTCTCAGGGTGGCAGGGCTCAGAATTCCATATCAAAGTGCCATGCTGCCTTAGCTTTTCTGCCTCACATAGGTGCATGACAACAGTTATCAACTGCAAGCCTTATAAGCATTTATTTTTTCCACTGGGAACCCTGCCCAGCACACCAAATGGGCTGTTCTTCAATATTACTTCAATATTGCTTCCATTGAGCAAAGTGGAAGTAATGCATGGGCCATCTGCACAGATTTGGGCATGTCCTGTCATTTCCATAAGGCCATGTTGTAAAATGGCCCTGATGTTCCTCCCTCATCAGGGCTGGGGACCAGCTCAGCCACCACCTTATTTAGATACTGCCCAACAAAGTGGTTCACAAGGAGAGGTGGGGGGGAGGGCATGTTATTGCCTGTAAACAGAGGGCAATACTCTGCAGTTGTCATCTGCTGGAGTCTCCTCTAAGCTGCCTCTCCCCTCTTGGTGTCTCTCTTGAGACCTTCTGCTCTTTTGCAAGCCAGGGCAGCCTCCCACAACACTCTCCTCCAAGAGGCCCAAACAGGACCTGTGGGCATCAACCTGCCACTCACACAGTGGTAGCAGGAAGTCACTTGAGCTCCTACAAACCCGGCCTGCTTCTCCCATCACAATCCTGCTCTCTGGTTACTCACCACTTTCACTCGGTGGCCAGGTGTTGCAGAGATGTCCCAGGTGCACTCTTTCCGGCTGGGATACTTGTCAGGCCAGTTGGGACTGCTCATCATTCCCTCCGCACCACTCAGCTTGTGCTCACAACCAGCTTGAGAGAGTGAGAGCACACTGAGGCAAGTCTCACATGGGAACCCTCTAATGTCCTACATGCTCCTCTCTGCCATCTGAGACCCCTCAGCAGGGCAGAGACAGGGAAGGCTTCAGTCATCAAACAAGATCTTTTAGAATTACTGCATAGTTCTGGTGGGTTTGTCCTACTCTTTTTTGAACTAACCTGGCAGCTAGGGAAACAGACCATCTCATTAACCTCATTTACATCCTCACTCCCTAATTATTCTCCTGCTCCTCCATCTCATCTGCCCTGCTCCCAGGGCAATGGTATCAACCCCTCCACCATGTTGACTCTGGTGCTATCTCAGCCTTGCATTGTTGTGCCAACTTGGGAAGCTGAATCATGGAGAGATCAGACAAGGACCAGAGACTACACACAGGAAGGCTATGGCAGCACACAGCAGGGTTAGTGGTGCAGGAAGAAAGGTAATTTTGGCACTAGCAAATGGTTAGATCAGCCCATTGTTTTTCTTCTGACTCAAACACAATAATTAAATGAAGCAGCAGTGACCAGTCTCATGGTGATGTCCCACAAATCCTCCTTTTGCTAGCCCAATTTCTTATTCCCCCCCTGTCTCCCCCAGGGTGATGTAGAGGGCAAGACTGGGGAATGGGTCAGTCCCCTATCCCTCTTTCTTGGACAGTTTTTCAGTTGGGGCTTTTTGGTGCCCCAGCCTGGTACACTGTACAAACTTCCTTCCACCACGGGGCAGAAAGGACCCTGAATCAAGCCATGTTTGAAGTACCTTGGTTTCCTGAGGGCAGGAAGTGGGGCCCTTACCTTCTTTACAGTCATGGCCATTTTCATGCAGCATGAAGCCATTTCTACACTGGCATATATAGCTCCCAAAGGTGTTGATACATTCGTGCTGGCAACCACCATTGTCTTTGGAGCATTCATCCTTGTCTGGGCAGGATCAAAACAACAAACACTGAGTTGACAGTGAGACAGACTACCACAGTCACCAACTGGGAGCCCCATACCCAGGCTGACAGATAGCAGTGCAAACCTTCAACCTCTACTGCTGGATTAGTGCAGTCAGCTTTTTAGCCCAGATATTATTTTCAGTTGTCTATAATTTAATAAAATATATCACAAATGTGTTTTATTTTATAATGTAAGTTTAATAGTTAAAGACCCCTGCCTAAAAGAAACCTATAGCCACGTCTGGTACTTTTAAAATAGAGTCCAGGAAAAGTATCACATAAATTCACTAGCCTAGGCAAAAATCTACTGGACAGCCTTAATACTTTCAAGTTCCTTTGTGCTCTGATGAGCCTTCATTTTTAAATAGCTCTGTCTGAAAGCATAAACAGCCAGATAGGAAGAAGATCTAAGGTATGACCTGCTCTCTGAAGCTGAAATATGCCCCAGTGGATGTTCAGGACTCTACATTCTTCAGTCTCACTGTTCTGAGCATAGGACCTGCTCACAGTTTCCAGTTGAACTTAACTTATGAGCAGTTTATCTCCATTTTTTCTTGGGACAATGCCCTCCCTAGATCTCATTAATCTCATCTGTCTTCTGACTCTCAAACATACTACTAGATGAAACATACCCACTTCATCTTTCCTCCTGTTAGATTTAATAAGTCAAACCCCTAGCCCTGATTCTACTCTGCACCTGTCTTAATTCAAGGCCATTTTGCCTGATCATCCTCTGCAAAATTCATTAATACTCTTTGATCTCTGCTGAAAAGACAGCATGAAATTGAAATTCTACTTCCAAATGACAAACAACCTCTAGAACTGTCTCCCAGCAAGGTCCATCACTGACACAAAGTTTTCAGAAGAGAGGATGAAGAACTTCAACTAGCACACACTGCTTTGATGGGAATAATTGCTGTACAGAACACTACTGGAAATTTTCTAAATCTTCTAGTTTCAGAGGAAAAAGCTTTCCTTTAGCGACTCTAGGGACAGAGATAACTTCTAGGACTGGGTTCCCTATTGTTTTCTGCTGTGGAAAGACCAGAGGCATCGATGCAATCCATGGATCTTGCTGACACCACACTGTGAAACTGGACCATACAATGCACTGAGAAACCAAAATGAAGGTGACACAGCACAGAGCAACCATGATTTTAAATGTAACCATGTCAGGCTCTGCCTGATCTAACAGGAGGTTGAAGAAAATTCATTGAAACCAAGAGGTTTGGTCAGAAGAGACAGCTAAGCAAGTGAAAGGATACAGCCACGTACCAGAGAAATAGTGAACTTTAAAGCCTTTCTTGGAGACTGTGTTGTCTGATTTGAACTCCAATCTCATATTGTTGCCATAGGATGTGATTACTTCAGGCTTCTCTGAGCCACAGAATCTGCCATGTAGCTTGGAGTCAGAAGCCAGTTCACTACGAACCTCAACATAGTCATATTTACAGACCTGACAAGAGAGAAGATCTCTCAGTTCTGTGGACTTGGAACGGAGAATTTCAGAAGGGGACAGAGGCTTCACTGAGAAGGAACAGAAACAGTCTTGTACTCAAACACACTCCTAACTTCCCCAAAATCTCCTCTGTCAGTTTTCTCATCCCTTCCCTTGTTGCCCTGGATTGTGTTTATCAGAACAGCCATGGTTCCATTTAATTTAGCTATAATAATTTCGCTTGTGTTGAATGAACTTCCTTAATTCAGTAGGCTGCTGAAGTGCCACTGCTCCCATTTACAGTGGGGAAAATAAGACCTGAATGCTTTGTTCAAACTCCACCCTGCCCTTGGCAGGACAGAGAACAGACTCTTTTATTGGTTATTTAATTTATCCTTGAAGAACTCTATTTCATTGTTCATTTTCAATTATTTTCTTGCAAAGGCAGAACTGGGGAATGGTACACCTATTAGGGATGGAAAACACCTAAAATTATGCAAAACTGGTAGAGAAAAGCAGCCCATTGTGCTGGTTGTGGCTGGGGTAGATTTATTTTTCTTCACAGTGGCTAGTATGGGGTTGCATTTTGGATTTTTGCTGAAAACAGGGTTGATAATATAAAGATGTTTTTGTTATTTCTGAGCAGCACTTCCAAGTCAAGGCCTTTTCTGCTTCTCATACTGTTCCACCAGCAAGGAGGCTGGGGGTGTGCAAGGAGCTGGGAGGGGATGCAGTCAGGACAGCTGATCCTGACTGACCAAAGGGATATTCCAGATCATACAACATCATGCTCAGTATATAAAGTGGGAGGAAGAAGGAGGGAGGGGGAACATTCAGAACAGCAGTGTTTGTCTTTCCAAATAACCATTACGTGTGATAGAGCCTTGTTTTGCTGGGAATGGCTGAACACCTGCCTGCCCATTGGAAGTAGTGAATTAATTCCTTGGTTTTCTTTGCTTGCTTGTGTGGCTTTTGCTTTATCTATTAAATTGTTTATCTCAAGCCAATAGCTTTTCTCACTTTTACCCTTCAATTGTTCCCCCATTCCACTGGGGGGAAGTGAGTGAGCGGTTGTGTGGTGTTTAGTTGCCAGATGGGGTTAAACCATTCCACGTATTTATAACAGAACAGCTTTAATCCTTCCACTCTATAGAGAAAGCAGATTCAGACTTCAAGAAGAACAATCACTGTTACTGGTGTCATTATATCAAGGGCAGGAAAACAACCAGAAGCTCTACCAGTAAGACAGAGCCTCCTCTTCCTTGTACCCCGAGGATTTATCTAGTTCTGAGTTAGCCAATAGTCCCACCTCTGAGATGCAGGGACTGGTTACGTACATCATTGCCTTCCAGATCAAACACTTCGAACTGCAGAGAGATCCGGTACTGGGCTGGAGCTACCACCTGCCAGACGCAGTTTTTGTTAGTAGGATATTCCTTGGGCCATCCAGGGCTAGTAATGGTCCCATTGAGCTTGGTGATGAAGCCCCCACAGGCAGCTGGAGAGGCAATAAATGAACACAAGGTTTACTTGGTTCTGTTCAGACACACAGATTGGGCCACAGTGTTAACTAGGAGATGAATCAGATCTGAGTTGGCTCAAATCCCAGCCTCCAGAACAGGTTTAAAATGCTGGCAACTGTGAAGAAGACAGAAACCTCACCTGCTGTAAATCACCAGTGAAACACAGAGTTAGGCTATATCCCTGAGAGGCACCACATAAGAGTGATCTCCTTTTTAATCTCTCTTCTTGGGCTTACTGGGAATCAGTTGACTCGTCATGCACAACACAGTTCTGAAGGCCAGCTTGGTAAATTCACCTACACTCAGTGCTATAAACCTTACTATTTCAAGTTTATCAGTTACAGAACAATTACAAGATGATGGAATCCTAGGGAAGATACCCCTGTCAAGTCTTCAGGGGCTTATTAAATGTGGACTGCTTCTTCTCTAGGGAAAATAAATGACAGGGGTCAAAGGCTTGGCTTTATTATCCCATTTAAAAAAAAATTTAGGACATCTCAGCTTCATCCTCTTGTGGGAGGGTAGGGCTTTACCTCAAAGGAGTCAACTTCAATTTGCTCTTTTGCTGCAAAATTCTGTTTGCAATGAAGCAATGTTTTTTTCTATTTTTTCTTGCTGTTTCTTGAGAGTAATGAGATATGGCCACATCTTCAAAACCTACAGGGACAAAAGCTTTCTGTGTGTTGTTCTCAGCACCATTTTGCATTAAGAGAACTAACCCAAGGGAGCAGCTTCAATATAAATAGTGTAGCAAGCGTGTCTGGAGAAACAAAAGCAATTTACTCTGTGGTATATTGCTATGTTTTCAAAGACTATCCTTTCTGTATTGCCCACAAATGAAGTTTAAAGCAGGAGGTTAAGAGTGAAGTTCAAAAAACACTTGCCAAGTTATAGTGGTTTGCCCTAGTTATACTGGCTTGACCACATTATATTGGTTTGCTCAAAATTGCAAGAAATTATTAAAAAAAAATAAGGTAAAGCTTCCAATAGCCTTTTGCACACACCTAACTCTGCCCTCAGCAAGTCAACAGCACTCTTCCCCAAACAGTTTGTCAAAAGCAGAAGTCAGGGCAACCTGGATGACTTTGAGAGCACCACTCACAGGGTGTGGAGCTCCCTTCATGTCTCAGCTGACAGGCAGAGCAATGAGACAAGAACAATGGGTGGATTTTCAGCACATCAACAGCTGTATTTTTGGTAGGAGCAAACACTTGTTGCATGAGATTAACAGGATAAATAGAAAGCTGACACAAACAGTTTCTATTGAAGGTGTGGGACTTTTTCCTCCGTAACAGAGCAAGGGAATTTACTCCTCAGTATAGAGAATGTCTGTTTTGCATGCAGACAAAACATTAATATTTTATTATATGAAGTAAATATTTTTCAGAAAAAAAAATCAGCTTTAGATTTATTTATATACTTTTGGGCTACTCAGTGGTTAGGTTGTAATGCCTACCTTCCTTATGCTGTACTGTGGGAGATCTGGTCTGAACAGCAATCTCTGGCCATGAAGGACAACTGGTTTTAGAGATGTTTAGCAGTAGAGAAGCAGAGTATTCTCAGGTTTTTAACCAAAATTTGTTTTTAAATGGAAGATGTTGACACAAAGAAATTTTTTAGGTGGGGGAAAATAAACTGAAACAAAGAAGATGTAGGAGCAAGGAAAATAATCTCCAAAGGCTCTTACATTTAATTATTAGCAGCAGTACTCATCCTATAGACAGATGCCCCAATCTGTAGTTTACTTACCTTCACAGCTCTTTTTATCAGCTGTCAACTCATAGCCAGGCTCGCAGGTGCATTTGTAACTGCCTAGTGTGTTCTCACAGTGCTGCTCACAACCACCATTGTCCGGCAGAGAACATTCATCCATCTCTGGCAGGAGAAAACCAGAACAGGTCATGATTTCTTGACCACCCAAACCTGATATTCCTCATGCAACCTTTCTAGACAGAAGGAACAGAGCAATAGCTGCTCATCTGACCCCATGGGAGTGGGCACTGCAGCAAAACTCACAAGTGCTAAAGCACTCCTAAACATGAAAACATAAGGGACTACAATCACTGTTAATACCCACTAGTGCTTTTTCTAGACAAGAGGAGGGAAACAGAGGCTCCTGTAAAGACTTGACTGCCTTTTGTTCTCATTTGCCTATTTTTTTGTTCTCTTTGTTTTAAGTTCCTTATGCTCTTGAGAGACAGAACCAGCCCATTATGGTGCCCACAGTAATGGAGCTGAGGGAGGTTATACCCCACTGAACAGGGTGCAGCTGAGGAGCTGGGAGGACACACAAGTAGTTCTGCCTTTTCACAGACATATAAAGTCTTGCTATCCTGGGCTTTGAAGTCAGGCTCTTCAACCACTTCTCAACAACTTGAACTGACATTTTAATATACAGATAGTCCAATGTACTGGCTTTTCACCCTGACCCCTGATTCCACATGCATCCCTGAATAGATGGTTTTATTAACATGGGGTGGGTTGGCCTCAGCTAGCAACCAAACTCCCACCCAGCTGCTGGTTCACTCCCCACCCCCTCCCACTCCAGTGAAACAAGGGAGAAAACAGAATGAAAAGAAGCAAGAAAGCTCCTGGGTTGAGAAAGGCAAATTACCTACCGATTACTGCTGTGGGCTGAACAGACTCAACTTTGGGGAATGTAATTTCATTTATTGACAATTAATATAAATGTTTGCGTACTGGTTTTGGTATTGGTATACAGATTGCAACCTTCAGATCCCACCTTGAAATTCCACAGGTAGCCTGCAGGCATGTCTACCCAGCTTTTGCACACTGACATCAACTCTGCCCACAATGCTAGCTGGCTAGAAGTTGTGCAGCTATGTCTACTGTGATGCTTGGTCCAAGCATATACACTCTGATCCTCAGCTGAAGTTACTGCCATGGACTTAGAAACAACCTACCCATCCAACACCTACACCGTTTCTGGTTCAAATACGTGAAATCTGAGCAGACACTGGAAGATCTAGTCTGCCAGCAAAAACTACACAGAAAATACCTATCTGCAATTGTACGACTGTGCCTATGTTTACACATTTTTACATTAAAAAAAAAAAAGAAATAAATTTATTTCTCGCTATCTGTATCACAAAGAAAGCACTCTGGGTTCAGGTGTGTAACTTTCTTCCCCTACAAACTTGCAGGAGAACCTCAGATTCTCCATGTAGTGCTAATCCCTGAAAGACATTCTGCCACAGTCAGCCTGCACTGTTCACTCCTGAAAGAAGCCAAAATGTCTTTAGGAAGAAGTACCCTCTATGTCTTTATGGAACCTGAAAAATTTAAACAAGGAAGTCTAGACACTGAGAGAGTTGTTCAGGGACTGAATTAAACATCACAGTATTTGCAATCACCCTTTGTCACAGTCCATTAGGATCTCTCAAATGTACAGGACAATGTACTCTGTGAATTAAACTTTATTTAACTATTTCTTTTTTTCTGCACATAATGCATGGCTTAAGAATTAAGGGTTATAGATTATGAAATCTTATGACTTGAATGGTGAAGAAGTGAATTCATGTGATAGACTAATCTGAGCAAAGGGGATTGAGCCCTGACAGATTTGTTTGCTATATTTCTTAATGAGCTCATGAACTAAATTTTAATTCACAGAGTACATTCTCCTGCACATTTGAGAAATCTAAATGGACCATGACACCCTTAACACAAGACAGAAGTTAAAGTAGAAATAAATACAGGACTTTTGCAATCCAAATATTGGCATTGCAGCTATTATTTCTGTACAACTGTCACTGAACCTAAGAGAAACATGACTGTCTACCTTGCAGCAGTTCTGCAGGTATTTTCCCAAGCAGTTAGGTATTTCGTTCTTGCCTCTATCAAGTCACCAGGATGCTTGTAAAGGACTATCTCTTAAAAAACAACAAGAAAAAAAAACACCAAAAACCCACAAAAAAATCAGTCTTACTCACATCTTCCTGAAGAGAATCTCAATTTAGGAACACATTTGTCTCTTAAAGCACTCAGATTTTTTTTCTGGTACTCTACTTGCATTCAGATTTATCATCTCTTCAGAGGCTTCTTTTGGAATAGAACTTAAGCATAGAGCTGTTTTTAATACTCTTTGTGCAGTATTAGTACCATATTTGAAAATGTCAGTGTCCCCTGGCATGGCTAAATGGAGGTGACATTCTGTCCAGCTGTGCCACACCAGGTATTAGTGCCTGTGCTGATACTGGCCCAGCAGGCTTTCTTTCTGTCCTAATCAGAGAAGTGGTGTTCATGCCTCAGTATCAAGCAATTTGTATGTAAATTTGATATTTGCAGTTGCACAGAAAAATATAACAGCTCTTAACTACTAGTAGATACAATGGTAATTGTTCATTTGGGGATGGCAGTAGTTTAAGGGATGAATCGTACCCAGTTTTGACTGTGAAAGGTACTAAATCACATACCTTTAAAGAAATTTGCTGCAAAGCCTGCTTTATTGATGGTTGCATCAGATGCAAACTTCATCCACACTTTGTTTGAACTGGATTTGATGTCTTCTGGCTTCTCGTAGCCACAGAAGTGGCCGATCAGTGGGCTGTGCTCAGTGGGGCCATCCCGGACCTCCAGGTAGTCATAAGAGCATGCGTCGTGCCATTCAATCTGCAACAGGAAAAGTGTGTGCCTGTACCTCGCTAGTATGGGTTCTTCAAGCCAGGCTAGCTCCCCAGATAGACTCTGGCCAGAGATCAGCTCCCCAAACAACTGGCTTACAAGGTACTTGCCTCATGGCTGCCACTGAGCTTTCCTGCAGTTGGAACTGCACTCAAGCCTAGGCACATCTCAGTTCTACCACCATATTCTGGCTATCCTCTGGTGAAACCCAGGCCCTGACTATCTAAAACCTGCTTTTTCATTAGAAGCTGTAAGAAACAGAGCAGAACAACTGCAAACAAAAAGGTTCAGGAAACAGTTGCAGGGTCACAGCTAGGAGCTAGTGGTATCAGCCCTTTACAGGACAAACATGGTAAGTGTACCCAAGCTACAACAGCCTATGGGATAGATGGGATTTATGCACCAGCTAAGGTCCTGTCCACTCCTGTCTGTGACATATACATCAGTTGTCAAAGAGACCATTGGGAACCTAACTGAAGAGTGTAAGACATCCTATAACCAGTAGGAGAAAACCTGTGAGCTCTTCAAAGCCTGTTTGCCATCTGGGAACATGATGTTTCTCTGGGGAGTCACATCCTTCAATCTGCCAAGTCCCAGTGACATAAGAAAGAGATTTTCACCTGGATTATGACCATTTACTTTCATTTTACTAGATGAACATTTAAGGACTCATGAGCCCTTATTTAACATCATCAACACTTTGGAGTCCCTTCTAATTACAGTTGTCTAAAGCAACCATTTCTGAAAACTCATCATATTTAAAACCTGGCTTCAAAATCTCTGAGCAAACTTCTGGTGAGAATAAATAATACTCTGAAGTAGTCAAAAGATTTTTTTTAAAAATTATTATTTACACCACTTTCCTCTTAATTTTAAAGGACCTACAAAGGCAAAATAGTATCTGTAATGTAATATACAATGACATTTCTCACCTCAAAGGCTTGGAATGTGATTCCTATGTGAAAACCCTCAGAAACTGTGATCTTCCAGATGCACTCTTTGGAAGGTCTGTAGTCATCTGGGTAATTGGGAGATTGGATCTGGCCAGCATCTTTCTGAATTTCTCCACCACAAATAGCTTCATAAAAAAGAAACAGCAAAACCATGAGCTTGCCGGTTTTTCCATAGGTAAAACCTGCTCCTAATTCAAATCTGTATCAATATCACCTGCTATACAAAGGCAAGATACAAGTCATGAAGGTTTTTACAAATCTAACATTTTGCCTTAGTGACAGTGTCTCTTGTCTTGCTGTGCCAACTTCCTTAGAAGGTGAACTCACTGGGACAGAGAATTTTTATGAATTTGTGTGTTTCATACTTCTAGTTGTCTTCATATCTGCTTGAAATCTGCTAACAGCACTATGAACCAAGAAAAGTTGGCAAAAAACCCCAGCAACAAAATCCAAAAATAAAAAATGAAGTTGCATATCTAATCCAGCCACACGATGGCAATATTAACAAGCACAAGTTGAGCTGTTCACCACCAGAATGACGGCTGTGCGTGAAAAATTGAGTTTCAGTGTCAAATGTGAGAATGAGTAAGTTTAAAGACCAAGAACAGAAAATTCAGTGAAAATCTAGTTTAATAAAAAACTGGTAGAGACATCAGACAATAACATTATGTATAAAGACAATAACAATTCAACAAAATTGCCTGCAAGACTACATAAGAAATAAAAGTAAGATCACAGGCTAAAACCTGTGTTACCCCATGATGCACAACACACATATCTACAAAAGACATATGCATGTTTTGGTTGTGTTCAGAGTCAAGCAAGCAAAAAGCACCAGAAGTAAGTATGAGAGACATGGTACTGCAATGACACCTGCCAGACATCAACCATCCTCACCCTTGGGTTCTCCCCACAGTGCTTTGTATTAGCAATTCAGATGTGGGTCTCCCTATAGTGTCCTGGAAATTGCTTGCATTGGGTCTTGGTTTTGCAGTGTAAGCTGACGATGTACTCTAGTTGAAAGCACTGTTTTATTAGTGCAGTGCTACAGCCTTTCTAAGAGAATCAGTGCTAAAGCACCACCAAACAGTTGCACCAAAAAATTCAGCTGCAGAGCACAATTTAGATTGCAGTTTGAGTTCATACATTCAGAGCTACAAGTGGTGCTTGAGAGAAGCTCTGAGGGGCTCTGTAAAGAACTGTCTCCCCCACCTAACAGAAAGACGACTAAAAGAACAGAGAACTGACCTTTTTTTTAAAAGCCATAAAACTGACAGCCAACAAATAATATTTTCTCCATCCACTGCGGTAGTTCAGACAACTATACTTGGAAAAGACTTATTGTGAAATGGACAAAACATCTGCTGACAGAGCCTGAGAAGGCAATAACGATGACAAATTTGGGGCTGCCAGCAGTGCTGTAGTAGGGCAAAACCGCCAACATCTTCCCATCTTGAACCTTATGAAAGAAAGGGGACAGAATGACTGAACTAAGAGGACACTTTCCCTACATTATCTGTCACTTAGTATCAAGTAATTCCACCATAATGTGGCTACAATGCTTCTGCCTCTTTCCTCCCATCTTCTGAAAACTCTCGGTCCAAGACTCAGAGGAATCCAAATCCAAAAATCAGTCCTCACCCACAGAGCTTCCAGTAAAGTTCAGATGCATGAGCATTTACATGCACTCTCACTAAAGCAGAAAACAGAGAAGCAGGGCTAAAATTCACTTTGGATTTTTTAGTATGTGAGGGAAGAGTTCAAAAGAAAAAGAGGAACTAACAGCAACACAGAAAGATTTTGGACAAAAACTGATAAAAATTTAAACATTTATGGGCAAACCTTCCTGGAAATAAAAATTACTGTTATTGCCTAAGCATAGAAGCCACAGAACAGCTGAGCAAGCCACCTGACACTGGAGGAAAGAAACAAGCCATTACCAGAGCTTGCTTTAGAGGGAAATAGAGATTAAGGAAGATTTTTAGAAAATCTCCTATTTCAGCAAATAAATTATGGACAGAGATGCAGATAATCTTACTACCTGCTGCTCTGACAGGAGGAGGTTGAGTTAAGAAAAGAACTATGCAATGTGCCAGCACTATTCCTGTAGTACAAGTTGGTTTCCACTGGTCATACTCTGTGCTTGCTCTCAGGCATAGCCATAGATTTCATACCTTTCCAATGGGAAATTTCTTGCAGGAAAGGGTTACATAAAAAAACAATCTTGAAGAGGCAGAGAAATATGAACAGTTGGAGTTTGTTTGACCACTAGATGCACATTCCACTTCCAGTTCTCTATTCAAAAGTCAAGTGAAGCAAGCATTGCTTATATTTACTGAACCTTTAGGGATCAGTTATCAATCAACAGGAAACATGGGAAATTATCAAAAGAAAAGTGACTTTGGAATGTAGCCAATGTAAATTTTTTTTCTTCCAATACCATTTGGCAATATTAAGCATGATGCCATATACACTAGTTTGATCACTTCTAATTCCAGCAAACTACCATAAAAGGGGTGTTACAAACCACATGGTCCAAGCAACAGCTGTTTTTCAGAAGAAATATTAAAAAAGAAAAAAAAAAAGAAATCAGGCAAGCTACCTCTGTCTCTGGGGCAACAATTCCTGCAGAAACCAGATATTTCTCCTGTGAAACAGATTTGTTAGCCCCTTACTGCTGTGAAATCCTCATGTGCTTTATTTGCACTTCCCTGACAGTCCCATGTTTGCTTCACTTCCCTCTGTTAGTATCATTATTCATGAGTTTATTGGACACTTGGGCACTGGGCTTCCAGCATCATACTTGTTCCTGTGGCTGAAGAAAGATGATGATGCAATGTCGGTACCAATACAGTCAACCTCAACACTGTTGACAGTGCTGGTATTTCTAAGAAAATGCCTGTTGCCCAGAGAATAATGGAATCATTATTGTAAAAAAAAAAAAAAAAAAAAAGGGCATATATGGGAAAGGGATGTTACTGATTTGTAGTAACTGTGCCAGTATTGCTCCTCCTCTAAAGTCATTTCATCATCCCAGTGTCAAGGAAGTTTCTAAAGTACCTGACCTGTAGAAGATCTGACATGCTAGCTAATTTCCAATCTTCTGTAAGTAAAACATACAAGGGAGAAACAAAAGAACAACCTTTGCACTTGAGGAAAAAAAAAAAACAAAAACAAAAACAACAACAAAAACCCACACCAAGACAAGCTGTATTAAGTGATACAAAATGTATGGTCCCAAACAGAACTTTGCCTACTGAAACAGTGAAAGAAACTCCTGCTACACCCCACACTGCTGCTTGCAGGGAGTGATTAGAGCGAACAGAACCTGGCCTATGAACAGAACCTATTGCTTTGTGTTGCTCTCCTGCTGTGCCCCCCAAAACGTGATGATCTTGTTGGAAGATCCATGAGTTGTCTACTGAAACAATGCACAAAATCTGCCAATTCCCATGACAACAAGAGCATGGCTGTATCTAAACCCCCAATGCAGCAGAACTCCTGCTGAACCCATAAACCCCCTGCATCCTGTTCTGCCTGCTCCATACAATGTGACAGACTTCTAGCTAAGGGTTGTACCTTCATAGACCACTAAGAAGCCTTTCCCCAGGATGTTACTGCTGCTCCGGAACTCAATCCACAGCCTGCTGTCCGTGGATATTACTGGTTCAGGAATCTTGTCACCACAAAATCTACCTACAAGGCAGGAAAAAGACAATCAGGATCTCCGTGATCTCCTGGCTGATGGGCAGCCAGGTGTAACAGGCACCTGTGGCTCCGGGAAGCAAAGAATCTGTGGTTAAAGGAGCTGTGCTTGTGGAAAACACCCTTTCATTCCCACCACTTGTGCTTTTGAATAAGTTTCTATGTCCCCCCTCCACTAATTCATATCCTTTTCAATTATTAAATGAATAAAAGTTCTCTTCAGCTGGGAGCAGAATCCAGTAGTCACAGATGAAGCTTCTGTTACCCTGGTAAATTCAAAAGGGCTCATGCTTTGATCACATAACTGGGCAAATGAGCTTCAATGAACTATCTGCAGTCCTTTCAGAGATGCGACATTAGGGAACGTTCTTTCCACCTGCTAGGCCTTGGAAACTCCTTCAGCATTTTGCACCCAAGAAAAAATTGTCTAAGTCAAACCAAGGGCAAGACATGGCCACACTGGTGAGGAAAAAACTCTAATTCTCTGCTCAACTTGTCCCAGTTAAGCTTCTGCAGTCATTTAATTGCTGTCAAGAGAAAGAGACTTTTTTGCTCCATGGTTCCCCCAGCAATAAGTTCTCTCTGGCATGCACCAGCACTGGCAAATGCCCAAATTCTGCAGTCAAGGATGAATCCTGAAACAGAACAGCTGCAGATGCATCTTCAGCCCAAACAACCTCAACAACCCCAGTTTGGTGCTTCTCTACCTATTCAAGCCAGATGCTCCTCACAGAAACAGAGTAAGCACCAAGTATGCCCTGATAATCAGGAACCTGCACTTGGGTCAGGAGCTTGCACAGTGCAAACATAGTTTTTCACTTCAGCTGACATGAGCAGGGCTATACACTGAATTCAACATGGTCTTGGCACCCCGTCCAACTGAATCCCACTGGGATTTTGACAGAGGCAGAGAACACTTCTTCAGGTTGAATTCAGTCAGGACAGTGGTGAGACGGATCTTGGCAGCTTTGAACAACCTCCACTGGGTAAAAACCTGGTTAATGCCTTACCTGCAAGACAGCCTTTTAGTTCCCATTACCTGGCTGGGAATGGCAGTTTCACCACCAACTTTTATCCCTTGCAGAATCACCTATCGAAATATTATCTTAAACCCAGCTTTACTCAGCTACTACTGTGCCCCCAAGCTGCCCAGTACTGCTGGGGTAGCGTGACAGCCCTGCAATGTACCAATAGCATCTCCCACCTCCACTCCCAAAGGGGATGCTAAAAACAGCATCAGTGCTGCAAAGCTCCTTCCTCTAGGGTCACTCAGCAACTGCCTCCTGGATTTAGACTTGGAGTTTAACAAGGGTGTCAAGAAGAGGAAAAGCAGATGAGGAACAAGAATGAGCAAGCTCCTCAGAGTGTGATAAAGGGCCCATTCATAAAAAGTTATACACCATTTAAAGGCTGGGTTTTCACACACTTCCCTGGGAAAATATGCAGCACACATGTATTTTTTCTCTCCGCAAGAAGCCTGTGCTTTCACAATTCACACTAATCCCCCTCCCCACCCCCTGCTGAATTGCCGTCTGTCTGCCTCTTCCGAGCTAATTTCATGGGCTCAGCCCCATGCGGGAGCCGTGGCCACTCATGCAGCGTTTCCTTCCAGATGGAAACACTCCCAAGTCCACCTGCACTAGGGGGAAAGGGAGGTGCTTGGCTTCTGAAATACCTTTAAATTACTCTGCAGAAAAAAAAAAAATAATGAGGAGCTAAGTTGCAGCTGCTGGAGCAATGTTACCTGACGCACGTGCAGCAGAGAACAACAATAAATGCTGCCAAATCCAAAACAGGCAGGAAGCAGTAAAGCAGGCTGCCAACTGCAGTGAAAGGTAGGCCCACAGAAACCTGGAGACCAGCACAGCTTCAGCCTCAGCACCTTACCTGGTACCAGGGCCAGGATGTCCAGTGGGGCCAAGGAGAGCACCCAAAGCTCCCTAATCCCTCTGACCCAATGCTGAGTGTCCTAGCCCCGTGCTGCAGCATGGGGCACAGCTACTCTAATACAGCTGGGGATGCTACACAACCTGATTGCTTCTTTCCTTTCAGGCAGAAGGGGCTGTTTGCAGTGAAGCATTTTACATGTTTGGGACACCGAGGTCTGGGGATGAAGCCAGGATCAGAGCCAGTGGAAAAGTAGGTGGGATTCCTGAACCACTCAGAAGACTTGCAGTTGCAATAGCAGGAGGCAGAGTAATAGGCAGGATACAGAGGGGCTGCACTTCTCAGAGAACAACACAACTTCTTTGGGAGTGGGAACAGGAGCAGAGCAGAGTCCTTGCACAGTTTGACACCCTAGGCATGGTCTAGCAAGTTCCCTGCTAGAACTACAGAGGCTCAAAGTACAGAGTACTGCACATTTGTAAACACAAATACTTGAAAAATAACAGCAGGAGTTTGGGTCAGGAGCTGAAGTACAGCTGCTTTGTTCTGACTGCCTGACAGTTCCACCTCAGACTTGGGAAAGAGCAATAATAAAACTCCAGAGACCACATTTTTAGTCCCAGCCAGGGCCCTGACTCACTTCCCTCCTTGCATCCTTTCTCAAGCTGGAAAAGGAAGGAATAAAATCTTTGTTACCAAAGGCCTTGGAGTATGGATCATTTGGAATGAATACAGCACACAAGAGACATTAAGGGATGGTCAGTGCACTGGCCGGACATAGGGTCTTTCCAGGTAATGGAAGGTTTGTTTCTGTTTGCTTTCCCCACCCACTCCCCAAAGCATCAAGAACAATACACAAAATGCAATTAAAATGAAACAGGTACTCGCCCAACAACGGAGCCTTCCTCCAGTAGCCATCACGCACCTCCACATAATCATACCAGCAAAGGCGGCTTTTAAACAGGTCCATGGATGTGAAATTCAACATAATCTGAAAGGAGAGAGTACACGTTTCTCTTTGGAGAGGAAGTTACTTTAAAAAGAAGATCCTACAGGTTGTATTTCATCTTTGCTACAGTGCTGCCTAAGTGAGTATGCAGGAAAAGACAGTCGGGCAGTTGGTGGGATTTGTACATCAGCTTTCCTCAAAAAAGAAAGGTTTCCCAAGGTATTTTAATGAAACCATGACAGTACATGACAGCAGATAACTCTTTACAATCAACTCTGTAATTAAAAGTCAATGCTCCTCAGTTACTAAAATGCTACTTAAAAAAAGCCCAGTTTGGATTTTTAAAATTAAAAACTGAACCTTTGGTTTTCAGGAATGGGATCATCAAAGAAAAAGACAGTGTCACAAAACACACTTTTGGGGTCTACACCTTCACATAAATGACACTTGTAGGAAAAATATAATTTTTGCTGATTAGGTTCCACATTCTGACAATCAGACTCACACCATCACGATGCAATTGGGTTCAGTGGCTTTACCAAGCCCAGCTTAGCACTAAAACGTTATTACTTTGGTCTCCTTCCTCTGTCACATGGATCACAGGCCGTGGTCCAGGCCTATGGAGGTCACCAACAGAGTGTACTTGTATCTTTTTCCTCATAGGATTTGACCCATGTATTAATTTACATCCATAGTCTGCCACAGAAATGTCATTAGACTAAAATAGGTGTTCTGTCCCAAAGTCCTGACTGGCAGTCCAGAAGGCAGTCTGCAATGATGTCACTCACTTTTATCATGCTTTTGCAGATTTCTGACTTTGGACAGCAAAAGGAGATTTATCTGCTTCTATGCAGATGAATGCTACAAGCCCAATACCTATTCTTAGCTAACACCTCAGTGCTACAATTCTACTTTGTACCAATCACTGCATTTGAGTAAACAGGTAAATCAAAGCATTCAATCTGAAATAGATGATTTATTTTTTTTTAAACATTAGTGGCTCAGCATCCAAACCACCACAACTCTTCTGATGAGGCTGAGAAGCAAAGGGAGAGTTTACAGTAAGATTCCACACCACAAAACTCCCAGTGCCACAGTTTCCAAACCTGGATGGCTCTTGGCCCTCCTGCCCCAGCGATGCTCTCCTGCAGCTGATGGCAGGAGCTCAGCATGGCATGGAACTGGGCTTGCAGGTGACAGAACCAGGTCCTGGAGCCAGGCAGCTGTTGCAAAACGAATGAACTCTGCACTTCTCTTTGTCCAAGTCTTAAGCATGTGTTGAGGGTGGTCCTCAGCAAAGTCACTCTGCCAAGGAGCTCCCAAGCTGGACTGCGCATTCTTGCAGTCTGGTATGGCATGAAAGGCCTGAAGGGCTGGTGTTACTGGATTAAGGAAAGATTTCATTTCTATAGGAAGATCAATAGAACAAAAAAAGCTGAGAAGAAGGTAGACAGGGTGGGTGATTGATGCGCAGTGGGGCTTGGCGTTTCAGGGCGGGAACTGGGAATTCCCTGACAGGCATATTATGCCTGCGTGATAGGGGCAGGCCACAGATGTCACTCATGGCTCCTTGACTCCCTTAAGGACCCCAGATGGCCAGCACATTTTATCTAACTATCTGACTGGCACCTGGCTTTGGAAGGTGAGCTCAGCTGGAGATAGCAGGTGACAGGAAATGTCCATACAGGGTTCAGCCTCGAATTGAGAGTGAGGATCAAAGATCAACACACAGTCCAGACCTGGGAGGGGGCTCTGCTCCAGAAGTACTTCTTCTCTCCTCAAGACCGTGTATCCCTGACTCCATCTCTGGGAGGACAGCACTGGTGCTCAGGAGCGTTTCCAGGCTCCATCCCTGCACCCCAGGCATACAGAGATCTCCTGGCAGCCACTAACGCTGTCATCACAGGCAAAGCCACACGTGAGGGAAATGCAGAGTACACCTTATGCTGGTGTGGCACCTACCTTCTCCCCTGGGGTCACCGAGATCCTCCAGACACAGTGGGAATAGGAGGGGTAGCCATTTGGAAAGCCAGGGGCTGAGAAATTACCTGTTGAGTCTTGCAAGGTCTCTCCACAAGCTGCAGGAGAGGGGAAAAAACCTGTCAAAAAGGAGTGACTCTGAAAGACATCAGGGTCTACCAAAATCTTTGCTCATGGCTGCAGTGTGTGGGTTGGTGGTAGACACTCTAATGATGCTCATTCATGGTACTGGGCAAAGGTCCTTGAGTACCTGAGACCCTGCCAAAGGGGTGGCGTGAAGTTTGTCAGAATTTCTAGGATAGAAGATGATCAGTGCAAGGACATAGCGGAAACAAAGAGGTCACCCTTCTTACTTCATCTTCCTTCCACGTGCCAGCACTTTCAGGTTTTCACTAATCAAATGCAAAGTATTAACTCCACCCCACCTCACAACCCCACAATTGCTGCCAGCAAATATGTTTTCCCTTCGTTACAAGCTGCTCAATGAAGTTCTCCTTAGTTACCATTGTTAAGAGCCTTTTTTGGGGCTGAAACATCCTAACAAAAGCAGGGCAAGCCCCACTGACTCATGCTTTGGCTGCCCTGCACCTATCCTGCCATCACACTGCAGAGGACAAAACGTGAGCACGGCAGCCCATTGCTCTCCAACTTCCCATTTTGTGGCCTGCTGCAGTTGATGAAATGTAGATCCCACAGTGATTTTCAGGAAGCAAGGAACATGCACATGCATATGCTCCTTTAGGGAACCACAGCTTACAACATCTGGGAAAGTTGTGACTACTGTAGTTCCTGTTTTCCGAGCCAGGAAGACTGAGCCAGAACAAAGAGTGACCATCTACATCCACAGAGCAGCTGACTGGCTAAGTGGGAGGATCACAAATATCAAAGCTCCCATTTCCTTCAGAGTGCCCACTAGACACATCCAAATACGTACTGCAAGGAGCAGGGACCTTGGCTTGCCTGCTTCCCAGTCCTTTTTCCAATTTCATAACACACAAGCTGCCCTTGATCTGCAACTTGGTTTCCTCAGAGACGGTAAGGCAGCCCCCAAAAATCCCTGATTAGGCAGCAGTGCTTTGAAAGATCCGACAAGGCCTTCCTTTTCTCATGGAAATGCCAGAGGTTGTTCCTCTGCTTGATGCTATCACACGCTAATTTTTGCAGCCCTGATTACATTTAGATGGGCGGGTTGGAAGTCGGAGGTGAAAAGAGATTGATCCCATTCAAAAAGTTTGATATCTTCAAACAGGGGAGAAGGAGTTACCTAACCAGAATTTCTTAATTTCCCTAAAGAAGTCTGATACACAGCTTGATTAGGTGAACAATAAGTGGGGACACAAAAAGGGTGTTTTTAATAACTTTTTTTTTTAATAAAGAGGGAATTCCAATCCATAACTCACTGAGATAAATGAATGTTCTTTTTATCTGCTCAAAAATCTATTTAAACAAATATGAATTTATAAAGAGTGTTCTAAATCATGGGAAACACATACAACATAACCATAGTGGCACAGGGGATTATCTCCCTCAGCTGAACCACAGTGAAGGTTTCCAACAGTCCAGATTTAATTCTCATAAGTGTAATTACACAGCTCCTGGCAAGACCGCATAATTATGGAGCAGGTACTATTGCATTTATTTCCAAAGACTGGTCTGTTCAAATATCATGAAAGGAGACCTATCTAACTATCTAACTCTTGCAGAGGAAACTCCCCAGACACACTGGGAGAGGCTGCCCTTTCAGCATGGAGGAAAGTGCTTCCTTGCATGTGCAGGGGGAAGGATGATAATAAGCAATGCACGTTTTTGTGTAGAGCACAGTCTCTTGCAGAGTGTCTCAGAAAGTGATACAACTGTACTCCACTTAGTAGCAAAGAAGCCAGCAGGTCCAATAAGGCCACTGTTTGGTACTTTTGGGATCCAAGAAACTGAGCAGCTAGAAAGCAAGAGGTGAAAAGCAAAGCAGAAAGGTGAATGCTTCAGAACTCATTTGTAAATGAAGTAGCTGAGTGACAGGCACTTACAGCTCATCAGCTGGTTACTGGTACACTACATCTATTTGAAAATGCCCAGAGGATTGGAGGAGATGCTATAATGCAGGGCATTCTCAATTTATATTTTAACCATTCCTGCACAGACACACAGGCCTCTTTCCTTTAGCCGAGCATGAGATAGCAGGATGAGTTTTTAAAAAGCCTTTTGTAGAGACTATACTCATCAAATCCTCAGCCATGCAGCCATAACAAATCTAGCATTAACTACTGTGTAGCAGACTGCATCTTGCCTTCCAGAAATTCCTTCAGCAAATTTCATATTGTTTCACCTGGCTTGGCACTAACTTTAACCCAGCAGGTATAAGCTTTGGGGAATTAAGAACAATTTAAAACAGCAGGGTTTTAGAATGGACAAGCTAAGCAAGTCCTAACTGTAGCAGCCACATGAGCTCCAATCTAATGAAGTTGGAGAGCCCTGTTTCTTACAACAGACACAGCAGTTGTTCTGGCTTATACCAGTGCATACTTGTAACTCATCCTCCATCATACTAGCTCTTTTTGGGGGGAGATATTTTAGGCATTCTCAGATGGAGACTCCCTTTCTAAAAGGGAAGCCATCTGCCATTCAACTTCTGAATGATGTTTCTGCACTTTACCTAAAAATCCTCAGCTTGACTACTGAACAAAGTGTCCTCAACCTAAAGTCTCATTCAGACTCTGCTTGAAACACGCAGTTGAAGTCCTTGGGTTTTGAACTCCCCTGCTTTGTATTTTGCAGAGGTACAGAACTTTTCAAGCTACAGATTCAAATGTTAGATGAAGATGTTAATTAAATATACTGCACCTCCTTTCGGATGCAACCTGGTTATAAATTTGAATGCAAAGAGAAAAAGAAAACCAAACCAGAACAACAGATATTTGAAAAACAATTTGTTTAGTAGGCTTAAAGCTCTAATCATTTTGCTGCCAAATACATTCTGAACTGCAATAACCTCTGCTAAAGCTTTGTGGAAAAAATAAGTAGGAAAGTTCTACTTTGCAAGTGGAAAACTTGAGACTCAGAAGGGTCCTCATTTTAAAGAATGTTGCTTTGTAGCTTTTAGTTTAACTTTAACCTCAGGCCAAAGTGGCTTTTCAGCTTGCCTCAAGAAATCTAAATCTGTAGTTGATTCTTCCAGCTATGGGAACGAAAAGCCTGCTTGGATTAATTCTGACTCAATCAAAAAACATAGTGCAAAACAAATCAACACCTAAACTAACCCATGAGATAATTTTTCAAGAACAATGTTTTGTTCTACTAAAAGCAATTTAGAGATAATTATGAGTGGTAAAAAGAAAAGTTAATTAGAACTAAAACACCTAAGAAAGTTATATCACCTACTGTAAGCTAAAAGCAGTGTTCCCCAAACATTTGGACTCTGAAGTCCTCAGAATTCATTCTAGACCCTTATGAACCCATACTTTCTGACTTGTATATGGATACAGAGAAGCAGCAGATTTGCACATCAACTATCCACCACTTTCCATGGCCTCAAAAATGGTTTACAGAGTAGTGTTAGTCACCTACTCACTTAAGATGTGACTCTGTATTCTGGTAAAACTTAGCCCTCATCCTTCTCACCTTCTCCCCTCTCTTTGTGATATGTTTATTTCTAGAGGAGTAATCACTTATAATCATATTAGGTTTACGATCAAAGCCACTCTCAACTGAACTACTTGCTGGCCAGACCAAACCATTTAGATGACCTTCTAGGCTGTGCTTGCAAAAGCCTTTTTTTTCTTCCCTGCATTATTACAAAAGTTACAGAGTAATTCTGCAAAACTAGGGCAATTCTCTCATTCTCCAATATCTTCTCATGGATCTTGATAACCTGCAGAAATTCAACAGAGCTTGTTAAATTTTCCGCCTCCAAGCATCACACCTCTTGCAGTCCCTTCCCAGTCACTGAAGTCCACGCCACAGGCACCAGACTGGGTGCCATCTTTGCTTGAAGCCTCTGTTTGCATCCTCATGCTCAACCTGTCCTTAAGTCTGGCAGATTGCTTCTCTGAAATCTGTTTTTCTCTATTAAAATATTCACCTAAAACAGTCACATAAACTTTCATCGGCTAACATCTCCAGTTTAAAAGCATTCTCTTGTTCTGATGGATTAATCTAATCTCCCAGTCACACAACCCCAATGTTGTTTTTGCCCATCCTTCCAGTCCCTGTGCAAAGTAGGACCTTGGTCTATCGTATGTCACACTTACATAGAGGGGTTCTCTACCAAAGCTGTTCCCAGTCTATCAACCCTTTGGCAGCAGAAAGAGGGATACAGCCCACTCCTGAGTAGCCCAAAGCACCAGTTTCCAGCACCCAACTGGATGTTTCACAAATCAGCATCTTTGGGCCATGTTATATCCCAAGCAACGTGCCATAATCACAGAAACACACATGGTTTCCTTAAGGCTCATTTCTGAGACAACAACTATATAAATTACAACAGATATCTGATGATGGGTGTGTAGAGACCCCAGTCTACCAGATATCCTTCTGCCACTTTGATAACTCCTAGACCCCACTCTGTGGTCTTGTGCACTGATGTGATTTTCTATGAACAGAAGAACCTGAAGCTCTAAACCAAACAAGAATACTGGCAAAGTACTAATAGGAGACACATGTTAGGCAAGTTCACTTCTCCCAGAACTTAAGCCTGAAGCATTTGATAGTCTACATTTCCAGTCTCTTTCCTCAAAGGGGTCATTAAGGTGCTCTTGAACTACAATGCCTTCCAGATAAACCATATGTCCACAATAAAGCTGGAGCCATCTCCACAAGCCATATTTACCTGGGCATTTGTACAACTTCCTTGCCTGAGCGATGTCTCCCTGACTCAAGCGAATACGCTGCCCAATAGTTGGCCGGACCCCATTATCGTCACGACGGGGGAGGATGGTGTCGAGGAAAACCCCTCTAAAGGGAAGAACAGAGAGACACAGAGCAGTGAAGTAGCGACAATGACACGATGCACAGAAGGTAATCCTGGCAGGCCTTCTACACCCCATCCCCCTGACCCTCTATCCCACACTAAAAAGTAAGAGTGATACAACTTGTGATAACTGCATGTCTCGAGACAGCCTTCTCACTACAGCAGACAGCTTCCAAATGTACGGCCAAGTCTGCCAAGCCAGTAAATTCCTCTTTGATGTCCCAAGATTGCTGCTGCCTCTGTTTGAGTATGGACACATTCCTTGCCATAAATCAGAAAAAGCAATTAAATACTCTTGCAGAAGGTTCATGGCACATCTGGCTCAGCACAAGCACAGACTGGATGTTTAAGCCAAAGGAGGAGGGGAAAGGGGAGTTAGCAGCAGATGAGGTTGGGCTGGCAGTGACTGGGCCTGCCACAAACAAGAGAAAAAGATCAAGTGCTCTACCCTTGTTATGCACAAGTTTCCAAGCTAGTAACTCCACTTGTGTCTGCCTCTTTTTACTTGCTACTATTTCTTCCATGTGCTTCATACTCAGGAACTCTTTACTTCTGATCTCAGGAAGGATTTAAGCTCAGGCCTCACTTCTATCAAAATGAACTCCATGCATCCAAGCAAGAGCATGCATGCAAGAGAGACCCCCCAAGGTAGAATTAGGACTTCAGGGAGGGAGTGAGACAGAAACCTAAACTCCAGGTTGGTGAAGTCCAAGCTCTTGTAGGCAGACTATCCAGTCCACAGGAACCCTTTCACTGCACCCCTGAATGACTAACAGGCTAACAGTGAGCTTAAACTGCAGCATCAGCTCAGTGAGGCAGACTGCTCTTTCTGAAGGACAGGATACAACTGTCTGTAGAGTCCAACGGGAAATCTCAGGGCAGAAGCAATAATTTTAGGGCTGCCTAATCCTGATACAAGAGTCTTCAAGTATGAGTTATGCATTAAGTACAGTTAATTCTGTTCATTGGGCTGCTCAGCTGTGTAAGAGCCTTGGGAAGGAGTTTTAGAGGAGTTTTTTCACATTGGTTTAATTTTAAGTAAATACTGCATGCAGAGTATTTGGATCACAGCTATCCAGAGCTGCAGTCAGTATTATTGAAAAGAAAATATAATTCTATGAAACATACTGTCCTGCAAAGGAAAAGGGGGGAGGGGGGGGGAGTTTTAAAAACTGGAATCAACTCTTGCATGGGAGATGTTTTTTTCCTGAAATAGAAAAATTCCTGATAAGCACCAAAATTGGTACTTACAAGATCTGAGGTGAGTCCATCAAATTTTGATTTATAAATTCAGTCTGGTATTCTACATGCCAGCTACATGCCTTGGGCTGAATTTACTGAAGTTTATGTATTAAAAATAAATCCTTCAATTCCAGAAACACCACAGACAGAGAAACAGGTCAGTTTGCTCAAAGTACATTTTCAAGCCTCCTCAGGAGTTCACAGAACTTGGCAATTGGCAGGGACGTACTTCTGTGGCCTCTGAAACGATTTCTGCAGATTTCCAAGGTCAACCAGGGAAGAACAACAGAGTTTAACACAAAAAACACCACTTGCACACACAAACTTCTGATTCTTTTTCCCATTCCAGCCCTCACAACTGTTTACTCACAGCCCTCAGCTTTCTGCACACAGCATACACCTAGGGCATTGCTCACACAATGCAAACAACTCACAACTTCAAATTACCCTTATTACCTGCCATTTTCTTTCAGAAGGGCAGTAAGATTTTTTTTTTCTAGGCTGGGGCAGTAAGATTTTTTGTTTTGCTTTTTTCTCCCTCTGAATTTTGGACTCCCTTCACAAGTATTGTTGAACGTGACTCCCAATTACGAAGCAGTAAATATAGTTCCTCTCATTTTGCCATTAGAAGAACCGAGAACAGAGGAGAGAGAGTCTGTCTGGCCCAAATCACACATGTTCTAGAAGTCTTATGCTGTCCACCCAAACCCTATCTGCTTAACAATACTTAGAGAATGTTAAGTTGCACATTTGGTGAACGTCTCTAAAAGAACAAATACTTTGACTCACAAATTAATAAACACCAAGCAGACATTAAACAGAGCAGTTCAGGAAGTCTACCACCAGCCCCATTCTCCTGCTGTCCAGGCATGGGCAGCATGTGCATTAGCTGCCCTATGCAGTGGTAAGTCAAGCACGACAACCCCACCATTCCTGCCAGCTAAGAACAACAGAGCTTGAGAAGAGACTCAGAAGAGTCATTAGCATTAGTCATTAGTACTCTGAATGTGTAAAGTGCCATGCTAATGTTATGAAATTATCAACTGATCTCAATAAATGCTAAACATCCATGCCCCAATAGACAGGGCAACAGATACAGGTGCTTAAACAACACTCAAGGAAGCAGATATTCAAGGACCCAGCTGCAGACAGCTACCTTTTGTTCAAACTCTGTATTTATATCCCCATGTGCAGAAGAGAGACAATGCAGTAAAACCTGGAGGATGTGTATATATACATCTTGTGCAGGATCAGGATGGTGCATTGCAAATACATCAAGAAGATGTTCCTTGACATGCAGGCAGTGCTACCTGCGTCCTGTTTTGTAACTCCAGACATGTGCTGCCATTTCTACTAGCAAGCAGCTTAGTAAATTAAGGTAACCTACTATTTGCTTAGGGCTCTGTGGAGGTTTAAACTTTCTTCTTGCTTAGCTGCCATTTATGGACCTTGACAGCTGTAAAAGAAATTGTTTAATGAGACAGCAATATTCAGTTTAGATTGCTGCCATGTCTGTAAGGAATGTACCAGGAAATAAAAGCCTGCAGCCACATTCTGCAAAACAGGCAACTTTCTGATACAGATGAGAACAGAAATTCCCATGGTAAAAACTTGTTACTGCTGTCATTACAGTCTCTTGTGCCACACTCGTATTTCTGCTGTCATTATAGTCTCTTGTGCCACACTCCTATTCCTTCCAGCCACAGACGCAAATGAGGAAAGTGTTTTGCTGTTGAAATGAAAAGGAGGAGTGACTCCTACAGCAATTCTCAAAAGTATGCCTGGAAATAATTTCCACTGCTAGGACTGACTGTGTCTCAGAAAAACTGTACTTTTCTGTCCTAGTTACAAAGTTTAGAACAAAAAGGGTCCAGGAGTTAAAGCAGCCTTTGCCTATGGCAAACACTGTATGATTTGCTATCAATACTGGCAGAAGTTAAAACCAACAAGGTTGTGCTAAATGTCAGGTAAGAATTGCTACAAGAGAGTAAGTCACAGACATGGCTCTGTGCCCTTCCCCTCCTCCTCACTCACACATCCCATCCTTGCTGGTCAGGTGCTCATACTATCTTCTTCCGTGGGCTTTCTGTTGTCCTAATGTATTAACACTCCCACTGCAGCCCTTGCAGGGTCACACAGGGAGTTTCTCCTACCCACTGATCTTAATGAATCTTGCTGGAGCTTAATATCTTTATGGGCTCTGTGCTTTTGTCAGTTTGGGTTGCAACCGGCCAGCACTCACAGAGCTCAGTAAGGTGGGCAGGAGATATGCATACACCCACCAATCTCTACTGACTGGTCAAAGCGTTGTTCTCTTACGGGAGCAGATGTCAAGGCAGGTCTTGGTAAAGTAAAAGTCTGTTCCCAGCACTGCCTATTTCTGGTGAGAGCACAATTAACCCACAGAGGCACTTAGTGCTCAGTTCAATTACTGCACAAAGACTGCTACTGGGGTGAGGGTGGGTCACAGAGACAAAGGACTTAAAGAAAACAGACTGAAAAATCCTATCAAGCACCAATTTAAATTTAGAAGCTCTCTTGCCATTTTTATCCCATTTTGGCCCAGCAGTGCTCTGAAGGACCCTGGTTTTCAGGAGACACAGCCTCAAAGACATCCACAATATAAATGGGGGTAATAACTTAATCCTGCTTTTGTGCAAGACAATTCTAACCATTTAGAGTTTAGCAAATGCTGGAAGGGTCCAGTAGATGCCTCAAGGGAAGAAAAATTGTTTGCTTTGGATGTCTGATTCAAAGAAATCTCTGCAGGCTGCAAGATACCCTTGCCCGGCCACCATCTCCTCCTGCCAGAACAAGTAGCAGTGATAATTTTCCACTGGCTGATGTGAAGCTCCAGAAACAAAAGCACAAAACAACAGGCCTCGCCCTTTCATACAACTGGGAAGTAAGAAAATTTAGAAAGTTCCAAAGGCACCTTTTATTTTTTGAAACAAAAGTTGTCAAGAAAGTGAATATTTCCACTCTGCCTTCCAATCCTTTTGACTCATAGTATGTAATGTTAGAGAGCTCTTAGAAAAGAACAATAGAGGGATTTATGAAAAAAACCCTTCAAATAATGCAGCAAAATGAAGCTGATCATCCAGTAACTCTCATTTCAAATCCAGGGCTTAAATAACTATGTTTATTTCACCTCTCTATCCAGTAGAGCAGTCTGACCAGAAAATGGGCTCCATCTGGAGGAACGAGATGGGAGTCAAGGGCAAATAGTCTACACAGAAGTTAGATAGTTAGTTGGGACAGTACTGATAACTTCTCCATGAAAACCCCAGTCACAGAGAACTACACAGCTGCAGAGGCCATGATCTAAAGAACATGCATAAATGGTAAAAAAACCAAAACAAAAACACAACAACAAAACCTCAAGTTATTAAAGATCATGATCTAGAATTAAATTTTCCCTTGGCACAGTTACTGAAGACTCTGAAGGCAATACTGCAACTCCAAAGCATAAGTTGGACAACCAAGACGTTCAAAGCTTGTTTTAGCATCAGCCACCTTGCCCGTGGGCAGGCACACACACAGATACACATGTGCTGCCAGGAAATGTTGTGAAGAACGTTAACTTGGTTTTGGAAGATCTCTGAGATTACCAGTATTATTACTGAGTGAATATAGTGGGAAGAGAAAAACAGGAGTCCACAATACTGCACCCAACTTGCTTTTTCAAATATTTTTCATGCTTTGCACTGCAGCAGAGCTCACTGCTGCATACCTGTACTGCCACATATCTCTACAATAGATCATAGAGATTCTAAGCTCTACTTATCCCTTAGAGCCAACCACAATTACCAAAAGTAGTCCTAAGGACATGTAACCTTGGATTATCACCTGGAGAAGGTGTTCCTAGCATAATGCATGATGCTGTCAAAGTCATAGGTCTCTCCTAGTGAGTTCACTTCCCCAGCTTCCATCTTTAAAAAGTTGTACTCTTGACCTGTGATGACAAACAAAAAGGAATAGAAACAATCACTTTAAGAGAGGATAAAAAAAAAAAAAACAAAAACAAAACACTTCTACCTCTGGGAGCCTGAAATGAAAGGGATATGCTCCTGTGTTCTAGCAATTCCAACTGGAGGTCCAAAATGTCTAGTCATCCAGCTATTTTGATCCTTATTCTAGACAATGGCTAGCAATATTTGTTTTTCTCCATCCCAGCTTACAGACCACCAGGGTTTTCCACCCTGGTCTAGCAAGAAACGTTTCTACCCACCCAAAAGCCAGGTGGAAAACCTGAAAGTGCAATTTTACCTTGCTGTATGTTCTCTCTGATGATTGTGACATGCTGATCCCTGTCAGGCCGTGTGTGTTCATGCCAGAATCCCACCACATGACCCAACTCATGAGCCACAATGCCAAACTTGTCACAGTTCTTTCCAATGGATATAGCCTGAGGGCCCCCTCCTCGTCGACCCACATATGAGCAACATCTGGAAAAAAGAACACACAAACCCATGCAGCACATCAGTGAACTGAGGAAGTCTGAAACTTCCTCAAGGAACACAGGGTGGCATCTGGCAGGGTTCAGGACAGGCCAGCAGCTGCATACACTGTTACTCACATACTTACACGAATGCATAACAAAAACATAAGGAAAAGAGTGTATATCTATAAAAATGCATATACACTCTTATATGTTATCCCAGGAAAAAGAATCCAGAAAGATGTAGCACTTTCTGAGCAAATACTAAAAAAATCCTAGGAATCCTTACTGGAAGTGACCAACTGCATCTTTGTGATAGATTCTCTAATGTAGCCATTGGTCAAAGCCATTTGTCACTGTTGGCAATACAGACAGCTGCAGGGAACACGTGCGTCACTTACCCACATGTTCTGTACGTGAACACAATGAAGCTCTCTTCATCAGTTCTCTCCACAAATGTCACACAAGTGTGCTTCTCCCAGTGCCTCATTGCCTGCTTAAAGATAGCTCTTTGGGTTCCTGAAATAGAAATCAAGAAGAGCAAACAGTGAAGGCCTGGCTTTCAGAAAAATCTCTAATGGACTTCAATCTGGATATGGGAACAGCCAAGTTTTCCAACAGTTCCTTGTGCAACCACATGCCCCTCCTACCTCAGGACAGAGATTCCCAAGGATGCAAGTACTTTGTGGGAAAACTGCTCCAGCGATATCCCACACATTTTGAGACACACACCCCTGAGCAAACAGGGAAAAATATTTTCACTACTAACCAGTGAAATTTCCCCCGATCACATAGGGGATGACCCCGCCTGGCCAGATTCTCTCAGCCCTGGATGTGGTTGCCCTGCGCACTCTGGGAGACAAGTGTGTATCCATCCCAGACTCATCTTCATATTCCTTCCTCTTCAGGCTCCTTGCAAGCGTTGTGTTCTGCCTGCTGTCTGCAAGACAGAGTGGCAACACCATTTAAATTGTCTTTAGTTCCACCTGTAGCCCTCAGGTAGTACCCTGGAGCTTCAGAAAAAATATAAAAAGAAAAAGCAAGGTGTTAAATCAAACCAGAAGTGATAGCTAGATTTTCCAGTGATTTGTTTGGGACTTAGAGACAGATAATCTGTAGAAAACTGACCTTTCTTGTCTTTGAGCCTTCATATGCACTATGCCAAACCCGTTGTCCCATACAGGTGCAAAAGGACATCCTTTCCTATCTCTAGCCACTCATTCTCTGCAGCAGCAACTTCTTATATGGGGACACAGTACTTAAACAAGGGGAACAGGAGGTAGGGATCAAACAAGCCCAGGTATCACTGTACATTCTCAACATGCCCTACTCACCCAGATCTGCAGAGATTTGTTCTATTATGGCTGACTTCACAACAGCCACAACTACTCATTCGAGTTGACCTTGGAAGAAGGTGACAGAGCTCTTACACTGAAACCTGTTCTCAAAGCATTACTTTGGTTTCACATACCAGGTCTCAGGTGGTTTGGAAATCTGCAAAGACCAGACAGTCTCTGCTGGAGGAGGGATGCTCAGGATGGAAAAGCTGAGGCACAAATCTCCATCCATGATGATTCTCTTCATTGTAATGAAAAAGAGCAAAAATACAAAAGGGAAAGCAGAACATGCCTCATTTCTTTTTATAAAGGGTAGAGGAGCCCTGTCTGTATGGTGCTCAGTGCTTGTCTTAAAACCTGCCAGAGGATTCACACAGGCTTCTAGGCAGACCTTGTACCTTGCCCTGCATCTGTGCTGCTGCAGCTCCGCTTACATAGAGCTGTGCCTGCATGAGTTGCACCTTTAATGTGACGTGGGTCTGACCCAAAGAAAACATCCTCTACTCAAAGCTTCCTGGCTGTTCATCCCCTATTTGCTGTGCCATGGGCAACTCAAACCCTCAAAGCAGCCATAGTCCAGCTGGGCTTTACTAGCATATCTAAGGACAGTGGAGACACACCACTTCTTAGAAGAGCTGCCTGTATTGCACAGCCAATGTGTTAGCTGGATGTGGGCAAAGGAATAAGAGAGCACTAACATATGCCTTCAGAGAGTGCTGGCCTAAAGGGTCACACAAAGGTGAACTTCCTGTCACCTTGAGGAGCAGCACTGCTGATGGTGGCTTCCCCAGCACTGGTGGACCTCTCTGAAGCCCAAGATCCAAGCTCCTGTTGTGGTCTTGTGATTTGTATATAAATCAGCAAGACTGGCTACAGCTTTGCCTCCAAAGTCAGGGACATGGGCTGCTGGATTATGAAAAAGCATAAGTCCTGCTAAGACCTTCCTCTAGTGACTAGAGGGCCTGCTGAGAGCCTCTTCTCCCATTATTCATCCCTCCAGTTGAAGCAGCGGTAAGCAAATCACTACTGTCAAGGCTGAGGGGATCAAAACAATGGGAAGGAAATTCAGGCAGTGTAGGGAGATGAAAAGAATGAACTTTAAACCCTCTCTCCTGCTTCCCTAAGTCCAGCCCTTTCTGCTGAAGATCTCGCTCTGAGCTGCAGGACAAAGATGGGAATTTGCCTATTGTTCCTCTTCCTCCTGAGCATCTCCCTGGCATGCCAGCCGCACCTGGCATTTCAGAAGCTGGCCCGTCCCTAAGCCAGCTGCTGGATCCTGGAAGGCAAATGCTCTGAGGCTGGGGGTTCTCCCAGCAAAAGAACTGCCTTCCCCTTCTTTGCATACATCTGGTCCTGCTGGTACCAGGCACCAGCACAGGCACCAGCGTTACGAGGGCTACAGTTAGAAGAAGTAGTCTTGTCTTCCATTCACAAGCTGCTCCTGGGGCTGCCCAAAATCTCAATGGATTTGCACATAGACAGCTCCTGCCAGCAAAGCCAAATGAGGAGTTATCTGCCCCACTCTCTCCTGTGCCTGGTGCATCAGGAGCTCTGCACAAAGGGCCCTGGGTCCACACTTCTGTATCACCAATGCTTCCATCCCTTGCCAGTAACACACCTTCTTGAGCAAATTCTCTGCAGCAGTCCTGCAACAGCTCGACTGCTCCAAATTCCTGCTAAAATTTTCAGCCTTTAACAACGTGAATTTGCGGTGGTCCCTGGAGAGGCCTGACGTGTCCTTCTAGCAGGAGCTGCTCGTGAATGGGCATGAGTAGTTGTCTTTATATCCCTTGGTTTGGTTATTTTTTTCTCTTTCATTCACTTATTAAACTGTCTTTATCTCAGTCAATGGGTTTTCTCACTTTTGCTTTTCCTGCTCTCTCATCTACCCTGATGAAGGAGGGGAATAGTGACTGAGTGCTAGGCTTCTGGCTGTGGTCAAGCCACCACACTATACAAGGCAAACCCACTCTTTCAGAGAGTCCACCAACAGCAACAAATGCAGATGCCTGAGTAGGGCTGTTCTTCCAGGCACAGAGGCACACACATGTAAATAACAGGACAAAATATGTTTTTAGAGGGGGTAAAAAAGTAAATAAAAGATACCCAAAGGTCTGGGTGGGGTACCACATTACCCTTTTTAACTGCCTTGTTATTACGATCAGTTGAAGTGGCATTCTCACTTGACACAAGAGACTGTTCTTCCAGGCCTCCTGAAAAGGAAAAAAGAGCAGAGACATCTCTGGTGAGTTGGCTGGCAGAGCTGTGATGTGGAAAGGAGAGCAGCTATCAGTGATGCCATTTGGGGGTTTGCTGGCCACAGAAACTGTCTGCTTTCCCTGTACAGGGAGCAGGGATTAAATGCCTGATAAGGCTGTGCTCTTTTCCTGGATTTGTTTCTAGCCAGCAGTGACACCTTGCAACTCATTACCATCCCATTCCTTAGTTTCTGCATATGCTAAATAGGCAGAAAGTCTCTTCTAGGGAAGGCTAATTTCACGGAGATTTACTGAGAACAGGAACTATATAAGGATGGTAGCAATAGTAATTACCACTATTACATCTCAAATTAAAAAAGGTACACTGTCAAGGCAAAGAATGATCTACATTCATACAAATACACTCTTATCAACTCAGTACATCTGGTCTTAATTAATTTTTATCTGAAATGTCTTTCTCTGTGATGTTAATACATACCGGCTACCAAAGCAGCAAGAACTGCACTGTTAGTCCCTGGATATTTCTTATCCTTCATCCAGCATCAACTACCCCTCTCTTTTGCAACAGCCCTGCCAGACACACAGAAGTTCCCAACTTGTCCATGGACATGACTTCCTCCAGCTCAGTCACCAAAACAAAACTGGTTTGTCCCACTCTGAGTGCCTTCCTGCCTGGCTTTCCTGTGTCCTCATGGAAAACCAACTCATGATGTCACTGTGATGCACAAGACACAAACAAGCTGTGGGAGGGATTTGACTACTTGATGTTACAGCTCTTGGGCACAGAAACCACAGCAGTTCCATGGCATCTTTGTACCAGCACTGTGCCTAAGCTTCTCTTTTCCTCCAGAGAGCGCTGCTGCTTCCTCTCCCCACCAGTGAAATCGCATTGCTAGGCAAGGGAGACAGGGTCCCCTGTCTAGAGCCCCTATCAGTCTTTTAACTGCTAAGGTACTGCAGTACTTGTCAATAGACCAGGATTTGATTTTAGTTTTTCAGATTTTATGATGTAAAAACAGGATCTTCCCTCAATACTGTACCCATTCTGCCACATAAAAAGATTTAAAATGTCATCCCCTTCCAGAAACTGAGTAAAACAAATAATAACTTGTTCACACTTCTATTTCAAAGGAAACCTGGGCAGCAAGCCACTGAACAGTCACAGACCCAACATGGAAAACCAACTACAATCTCTTTGGCAGGAAAGCTCTCCATGGTGACTGCAGTAGGAAGGAAAACTCAAAAATGGTGCCTAGGGTGAGTGAGCACAACACACGAGACAGTAAGATGTATAACAGATAAATAAAACTTGCACTGACTACATTTGCAGCCTTAAGAAGGTGGTGCTGATACGACCATTGTTATCTCTCTTCCTCCTTCCCTATCTTGGTATCCTGGGTCCTCTGTGATCAGAAGGGAGGCTGAATGAGTTGACCTCTGTAAAGGTATTAAATGCAAGGCAAGTTTATGCAGTCTTGGTGGCAAGGTAAAGCACAAAGAGCATGATAAACCACCACATGCAGAAAGGAAGATACTGTTACCCAGCACTGCTGGATTTGGCGTGGACACTTCCAAGAGGATGTCTCACTTTCAAGACAGCTGGACACCTTCCAGGCACTGAACCAGTCTTGCTTTGCCAGCCAGAAAACTCGTCTTTGCTGTGGAACTGGCTTCTTGCAAATCCTTCTCCAGCCACTCCAAGGGGGAAAATGTACATGCCTGACACCTTGGAGAAGGACTGAAAGGATCAAATCTGCAACATTATACTATTATAACTAATTAGAATACCAGGAAAGTGATGATGAAAGATGGCAACAAAATGAACCAGAATAAAATAAAATGCCCAGACTGTCAGCTGGCTATAGGTTAGGGCTTCCTGGTCCAAGAGACATAGTAAATCAGGGGATTGTCTCCCAAAGGAAGTGCCATAGTTTAACAGAGCTTGACTGGACAAAAGCCACTAGATGTGTGAACAGAAACAAGCCTGATTCAACAAGATGGATTGCTCTGAACTCTATCACTCCTTTCCAGCCTCAATGTCCCATCCTAAGATTTCCCTTTGTTTTCTTTCATGCCCAGACCTCGTCACTTCCTTAAGCCCAAGCTCAACAAAAGTTCCTCTTCTCAGTTAAATTTTACATCCCCAGGACTTCTCATTACCCCCCCCCCCAGTATGCTATTCTTCACACAATATCCCATTCCTTTTAAAGGAAACCCCAACTAGCCATTCATCACCAGAATTATTAAGGCACGCAGTCTTTGCTGAGGCAAAGGATAATTTTGTATTTCTAAATAAATGCAGTTTGCTTCCAGTCACAAACAGATTGCTTCTTAATTGAACTTGGGAGGTGAATTATATGGTGAATTAGGGAAAAAGAACAACTCTGTATTTAGTGAATTGTTCTCCTAAGAAGGAGCTGTATGGGATTGAATTGCAAATGATGGCACCAAACCCTAGAGCCGGGCCCCTCTCCTGTGCCCGAGCTGCTGACCTCTGCCGTGTCGCAGTGCCATTTGCGCACACTGCTTTTCCAAGCTGGGAGCACATTCTTTCCCAGAGATCAGTGCAGGCCTTGGTTTCTTATGCAAAGAAGAAGTTTGAATAAACTAGTGTGACTAATGAAATCTACAACATCTTTGCATATTTTGTCTTATTGTAGCTGATGAAAAGGGAGAGCACTACACAAAGGCCAGATATGGGTGTGCAGATATACTGGATATTTTCAAACATTACTAATCTCACTCATACAGACAGGGAGCACCCATAGCCTTCTCTCCCACAAGGGTGTTTTGGAATCAAACATGAAAAGTTTGGAAGATCCTGTTCTGATTCACTTGAGTTTTCAGTTGTTTCTTATCATCATGATGCCTAAACATATTCCAAAGATTAAAGTGACTTTACAGACATTTAGTCCTATTCTGACTTTTTCCAAGAGAGGGCTAGTGCAGGATCCTAGAAAAAACAAAGATAAGTAACTGATTTGCCATAATCAATAAATAATATAGGTTGCAGACAATGTGCAGATCCTGTTGCCCCCTTAACACATTCCTGAAGTTGT